CAAACAAGTCAACTTAGAAGTTTCTGAAGATTTCTCATTCACATATATAGAGACTGGCAAATGAAACCAAGAAACTGGCAAGCATTTGAAATTACAAAACGAATGGAAGAAGAAAGTACATCAAGGAACAGAATCATTTAAAAAGATCATTTAAAAAGACAAGTATAGAATAATTTCTGAAGTTGTATAACAGAAGTGGATAAATTCCCTTCCTATTATCACTAAAGATGCAGAAACTAGACGGATCTCCAACTCTTGAATTGGAAAGATGAAAGGATTCACAAGTCATAACCATATCCAAACCAGTAATTTTCCCAATCCATGATGAAATCCCATCTCTTTACTACCAATCAAGTTAATAATTAATTCCGAAATTTAATTGTTTCTTTGTTAATGTTAAATTAATTATAAACATTAGTTCATACCTAGATCCAACACCTCTAGCCCAACATATGGAATTAGAGGCTTTGGAATAATGATGGTTGTATGTCCAGCATATGCCTTCAATAGGAAAAGAGTAGCAAATGATGGCAGTAATAGTTTCCTGCTCCACACGGTAATGTCGTAAGCATCAAGCAAAGTATTATCTCAAAAGTTGATATGGGGAAAAAAATGACAGGAATCTTAACATTTATACAAAAACCTTAAATGCCGCATACTCACACTCTCCAAGGAACATCCAGGACGTCATCTACAAATCCAAGCAAAATCATGAAGCAGATAGATGCCAATGCTGCATTGCACTCGACAAGCCACTGCATAAAGGAATAGTGAACAGCTCAATTGTCAATTGATTGAACAACCACCAAAAAATAGGCCAGTTTGAGGTAACCATATCCAAGAAACAAAACAACCACCGTAAAGCTAAAGAATGGGTGACATGAAATTGAAATGGAAGTAATAACAAAAGCAAAACTTATCAGAAGCCAAAATATGAAAGGGAATCATCCTAAAACTTTTATTTGAGCTCAGCTAAGTACATTAAAGCTAATAACTATTCACACCTCAAAATTGGTATCAGGCATCAGTAGTTTTTCAATTTTCTGAAACTTTCTTGTAGATACCCTAGAACTGAACCAGTTCAAAGCAGTGTAAGATTTTGTAGGGATAAGAAAGAAAGAAAACGAAAAGATGGGAACTTTTTGTGATAACATACATTTCGTACTTACGTTTGAATCTGCTGTGAAGTTAAAATACTGGAACACGATTGCCAAGACCAAGAAGATGATGCCTACATACAACAATTCCCAATGATTCAGGCCTGCCAAATACTCAATATTATCAATAAGTAGATTTTCATATAAGTGTTTGTCATGCAATTAATCAGTTATGCAGATGAAGCCCATCAGAACATATGCAGTGGTCTAACTACATAGTGAAAATCTAAAATCTAATGCGTCTTTGATTCACTTAAGCTAAAGAAAATTTGAATGAAAACAAGTCCCCCTGCATCTCAAGAACTTTGATGAAGGGTGGAGAAGAGATTTTAGCATCTAGCAACCTTAAAAAGCAAAGCTAGAAAAAGAAACAGATGGTTAATATATAATTGTAACAATTAAAAGATAAATATGAAAATTTAGAGTTTAACAGGTGGGAAATTTTATTAATTCATGTGATAATGATATTGACATTTAAGAAACAGAAAGGAAAATAAGAAAGCTGAGACATTTATTTGATTGAACAATGCAGGTGGCAACTAAGAATCCAGGGAATGCACAGTTAGCACTAATGAGCTAGTAGAACTAATGACTCTTTAAAAGCCAACGAATTTGATGAGAAAAAGAATCCTAAACAAGAACACATTTCATGAATTGGAATCGAAACCCATACCCAGTTTATTAATCGAAATGGAATTGCAAAACCAACATACACCCAGTTCCCCAAATGAATAAAAACCTATACGAAACAAAGGATGAAAAGAAATTGGACTCACACTTTAACAGTTCCTTGAGGGATACCCTTCTTGTTGATATCGTACCCCAAACAAGCTGCGCCTCAGAACATATCTAGAAGCCACGGGTATCATCTGGAGAGTAACAAAGATGCCGGCAAGACTGAGTCCAGCATTGATAAGGATCGATCTCTTCAACTCTTGTTCGATGTTGTAATGGTAGAAGAGGAGGTAAAAGTATGGGATTGAGAAGAAAAGAGAAAGCTTCACGATTACTCCCCATTTTGGCGGCGCTATCGGCTGATCAGAAGAGGTGCTTTCCGGGGATTTATGGTCTACTTGAGCTGGCCTCGGGTCTGCGGCCGCTGTTGTTGTCGCCGTCGCTGAAGCTCTTTTCCGAGCTGTCATGGCGGTCTGCTTCGGCAAAATTCTGTGAAATTTCTGTTTTGCGTTGACATGGAAGAAGCCGAAGGCGTTTTCTAAACCAAAGTACAACCAACCGGGTCGTTTAGAGTTGTGTTGGCGTCAACCAACCAGGTCTTGCCACCGAAGCAAACTGATTCCACGTAAGCCAAAGTACAACCAGATGATGCTTGTGGAGTAAAACAAGCTAATAATTTTTTAATTTTTAAATATAAAAAGGAACCCTTAACCTCAACATTAATCAAACAGCCTTTATTAAGTTTACAATGTGATATAATTTTAAAATCTTGTCTTTTATTGTATAAAACAAAAATTATATGAAAAAAAAACTTACAATATCAAAGACTTAAACTTTCATCAAATAATTAATATTTCACCATTCAATTTAGTTTAAACTATAAAATACTTTTTTTTTATATAATTCAAACTGCAAAATGTTTTATTTTATACACTTACGAGTTGTTGGCAGTACATTTTCGAATTATAAGTGTTTTCAGGTTTGACTCTCCCCAAATCCTTGGTTATCAAAATCTTGATAAGAGATAGGTGTTTTTCAGTAAGAAAAATATTCAGACAACGCGACCACATCCCTAGGATGTGTGGTGTGATTGATTGGGTCAAATATCGTTAAGGGAAAATTTTAAACAACTACTACCAAGTGGATATCATATCAGGAAAATAGACTGTACAAACACCGACTAATTAAAATTTCAGTGAAATCTCTGGAAATTTAAGTTCTACCCCCTTCCCTTCCCATACGGGAGACGACCTTGCAAAATATTTGATAAATTTGTTCACTGGGGAAAGAAAACCAGAGCTGGTAGCGTAAGTTAAGCTATGAAGCAGTTTTTCTCACTGGGATTAGGGCAGCAAAATGGTCACTTACATCTGCTTTTTTCCAACTGTCCGCACCATCAAGTTTCTTGGGAGTTGGTTTTTTGGGTTGATAATCCATCTGGTAGTCAGAACAATAGCTAAAATACTGACGGTTTAACTAGAGTGCCAATGTAAGGCCAACAGGGCAATGATCACTACCGGTAACATTAGGAAGAATGTATGAACCGTAAACCTTGTCAGCAATGGATTCTGAGACAAGGAAGTAGTCTAGCCGCCAACCTGTTTCACAAACAATGATTAAATCATCCTATTCAACTAAATTGGGATAGATAACCTTTCAAATGAATGAAAATAGGAACTGGAAGCGGAAGAAAACCTCGGATGTGGAATGTCGTATACTTTATTAGTTTTGCAGCCACCATGTTGATAACCCCAGTAAGCATAGCCAACAACATCAGAATGTTGCTTTCCAAAGGTATCCACAAACCCCCTGGATATGAAGTTTGTTCCAAAAGACTGCCTTTCTTCATTTGTAAACCCAGCACTCCTCTTATTCCCCTATAAATTGAAGCAACCAATATGAAAATAAATTACAAACATAACGTCTAACTACTTCAGCTTGCAAGGAGCATCTGCAAGCAGTGCAAGCACAGCTGTGGCTACACTATATGTTTCCACAATTGCCCAATGCATCCAGGCACGAAAGATTAAAGAAAAAACAGTCCAGTATTTAATGGCATGACTCATAACATCATAAACAAAAAGCCTATCAATCTTGGTGAAGCAGTTTGTTTTAGAGTGATAAAAATATGGGAAGAAATTGGAATTTT